ATCTCCTCGGTGTTTTCGTCTTCGATCTCCATTATGCCTGTGAAAATTAGATTTTACTTCATTGAATGGCATCTCAGGTCTGTGATTTGTTCCGAAAGAAGTTTGTTTTTCTCTGTGATTTCTCTTACTTCTTTTTCTTTTTTAAATCTGTATTTACTGAAATCGTTTTCAAATTCTTCTATGGGAGACTTCATGTCTAGTAATTGTTTACTGGAATTCGACACATCTTCTTTTACACCATCAAATATATTGCTTAACCCTTGGAGACTTTCTTGGAAATCATTGGATGTTTTGTTCATTTCATGGAGTTCCCCTTCTATATTTTGTACTTTTGCCGATTAACTCGTGAATTTTTCGAACATTTCATCAACTCTTTGTAGTTTACTTCCTATGTTCGAAATTTTTTGTTCAAAATTTGTGTTTATTTGGTTTAATCTTAGGTTCATAGTATTCCCCATGGGTTTACATGATTACAAGCTGACCTTTTTACTCTAAATACTTTAATGAGGAGTTATCTGTCCTTTATATATTTTTTTTTAATCTGATTTTCTAAAGATATTTACGGTAAACTATTAATTTAATTTAGTATTTTTATAAATAACTTTTGACCAGGAGATTTACATGAAAATGTAATTTCTTTAAAAAAAAAAGATATTTTAATTAAATGTACATTTCCCAAAAATTAGAATTAGAGGTACGATAAATCAAGAATAATTCTGAAAATTCCTTCAGTGGATTATTTTCATTTGATAAACTCTTCAAAATGATACTATGTTTACCAAAAAAACCAAACCATTATCCATTTACTACATATGAAATATGGTCATTATGGATCGAATACCTTAAAGAGGAATAGCTTTGTATAATTTACATACAAAGTGACTCACCTTAACGTTGTGAGGATTGAGTCTTCATCCTTGGTTTTCCTCATCTCTTTCTGTGGATATAATTGGTGGCCATTTCTCGTCATGTGCGGGTGAATAAACTGGTGACGAATCACTATTGGTATTTTGGAATGATAATTCCCGTAAGCTGTTATCCTTTTCCTCTTTGACCGGCGTTAGTGGTCTTTTTGAAATGGTGGCTGAGGGCTTCTGACGGAGGGACAATGATTTAGTGACCACTGAGCAGGGTGTGGAAATTTTCTCCACTTTAACTTTAGCTCCTAGAGGAGGACTCTGCAGCATATTTTTGAGAAGTGGTGATGACTTCGCTTTTTTCTTCACCACATTCTCTGTAGGCAGAGGTCTAGATGATTCGGGCACCGTGATACGGGGGAGGGAAGGTGGTGACGCGCTTTAAAAAGGGAAAAAAGGTGGCAATGGTAAATAATTGAAAGTCCACATTTTAGGCATTTTTTTTAATTGGCTGATATAAACTTGTATATCATTTATTATCATGATTATTGAAAATGTTAAATTTTCAAATTATATTTTATGTAAAGTGACATCTGCAGATCGAACAATTCTGAAATAATGAATGAACTAAAAATTTTCACTTACCTTGAAGTTGAAGACTGTTTAGTTGCGTCCTGCTTTTCCAGCTCTTTCCAAAAATCCTCGAAGACATCCGATGTTGAAAAGTCACTGTAAATATATATATATATATATATATATATATATATATATATATATATATATATATATATATATATATATTTATACCAGAATTTTACCGTTAAATACTGTGATGGTTTTTTTATGTCAGTTTTGCTTTAAAATACTTCTCGCAGGAGGAGTGGGGCGTGGACAAAGTTGCACACTAGTCCTAGTTTTTGTACAGCATAAAATTATTTCGTAACCTCAGTTTTTGTTTCAAGGGAGTGTTATATAGGGTATGGTCATTATACCCTCTCCTCATCACCATTATTCACTTTTTAAAAAGACTGCTTTTTGTCTACTGATGTTTGTTCAGATAAAACCGGTTTGAAATGTCGAAATCCCCCCCCCCTTTTTTTTTATCTCGACAGATGATTTATAGTTTTTGTTTCAACTTTGTTCAGACGTTATACACTTGACTACGTATATATGACAAAATCCTGCTGTGTCACTATGATGATGAGGGCACTTTTCAAGAGCCTATACTACATATTCTCTGAAAACAATATAAGATTTTTAAAACAGTTATTACAAAAGGAAATACATTTGTGCAACACTAATATAAATTATTTTGATACAAGCAAACAAACAGTTTGTCGTTACCAATCATAGGTACGGAAAAAAAAATTCAGAAATTCTGATTATTCAGATTGATGAAGGTTAATATAATCAAGGACTCATTTTTTTCTTCTGAAATCTAATTAATACGACCATGTTCCTGTAATTAGCTATATACAAAATTTAGATATAAATCAAATGCAATTATGTACTGCAATAAAATAAATGAAATAGGTTTTCTATTGTTTAAGAAAGAACAGGTTCATAGGCCTACCATTCAATCACTATTAAATTATTTTCTAGATGCTCTAGTCACAGCTTCGGTACTTTAAACGAGCTGTTTTACAATGTGAACATAAATTAATTTCGTTTTTTGTTATTTCTGTAAACTTAGATTATGGCAATGAAAGCTAGGCCCTCATAAAATTATTCAAATCAGTATCCGCTGATTAGGCCTACCAAATAAGGGTAGATCTACGTGCTGTTTTGAGTGTCATGTGACATTGTGCAACTGCACGTGCAGGAGATCTGTACAGTAACAAAAAGGCGCCATGAGGGACCTTATTCACAAAGCCTCCGTAATTTCCGCAGTCGCGGAGCGTTTACGGAGGGATTGCGGAAAGTTTACGGAAAGATTACGGATGGTTTACGGCGTATTCACGAAGCTTCCGTAAATTTTGCGAAATTTACGGAAAGTTTCCGCAAGTGAAACACGCTGAACGGGCACCTGCATTGAACGAAAAAGAGTAAAGAACATATTAAAATTTTAATAGTTTGAGCGTGTTTTGTTAATTTTTTAATCAAATGTGTTGCATTCTCGAAATTAAAAAAATGAAACGAGAACAGAATAGAAACAAAATTTTAATAACTCTCTAATAAAAAAAGAGTAGTATTTTATCATGTGTATATATTTTTATATTGAACAAATAAAGCCTTTTAAAGGTTATTTTTCACTTAAAATCAAGATATTCATATTGTTGTGATTTATAGTTAGTCGGGGGGGGGTATTTTTTGAAGATATATATGATTGAAACAGGTAGTCATTTATATAATAAATGAATAAACAGCAATTTACAAATAGTGACTAAATAATAAACGTTTTCGGCGTAACATATAATTATGCTTGTACCTAGGTTTAGATAGATTATCTTGATACCTCTTTTGTCCCGTGAACCTATTGTGACGTCATGACTAAGAAAATGACATCATTGAAATTCAGACAATTAACGCTGAAATTATGGAAGATAGAAAAAAGAAGCCGCGCTTTAGTGAAAAAGAACTTGAAATATTAGTTCAAGGAGTTAAAGAACGCTCAGATGTCATCAACTCAAAATTCAGTGACATGATCAGCAATACAAAGAAAAAGCAAGCGTGGGTGGAAATTTTGGAATCTGTAAACGCTGTCTCATTCTCAAAAAGAACTGTCGACGAAATTAAAAAGAAGTGGGATGATGTAAAGAGGGGTACAAAGAAGAGAGCTTCTGCCGTCCAGAAAGAACGGTGTAAGACGGGGAGTGGAAAATTGGAGATTATACCTTTAAGCCCAATGGAAGAAGATATTGTGTCTGTAATAGGAGAGGAGAGAATTTTTGGATTCAGCTCGTATGTAGACACCATGATTCCACCTGTAAGTGAGCCTAATTTCATTCCGTCAATTATTTGCTTTAATCTAAAACAATATGTTTGTTTCAAGACTTTCAACAATTTTGAACGATGTTAACATAAAAAGCCACCAAATTTCAATATGCATATACATAACCTATAGGTTGCACAAATTATCGCCTTCGAATCGCTTTATTATATTAATTTATAATAATTCAGAACTTGAGTGTAAAATCGGTGTTTTAATTTTTTCTCTGCGTTTTCTAATATACCATTATAGTTACCTCCCCAGTCATAGAGAGGGCGTGATTTCTACATTGATCCTTGTTTCCTCTTTTTATGAAAAAAAATATTTATATACAGACATTTAATTTATGTTACATCATTCTGAGATGATACTGTGAATACAATTATAGGGATAGTATATGTCCTTAAAACTACTGTAGAAACATGAGTTAGAAGTCTTCATTGAAAAAAATGCAGATTTTAAATATTGATCTTATTATGAATATCCCTCCTATAAAATATGTATACATATGATTTTTTTTATGATATGAGTCATTAGCAAGCCAAAAACTATTAAGTTTATCATGTACCAAATTCCATGCACTCAGACACCAAGCAAAGCTGTCTCTGGAGAGAGTCCACCACAAGAAGTACAAGAGGTACAGACAACTAGGGAAGGAGGCATCAGTGAAATATCTAAAACTTTTCCTAGTAAAGGAAACTCCGTAAAAATGATAAAATTAATAGCCATTCTCTGTAACCACTTAAACTTCGTTGCCACGCATGGTCACCGATTTTGATGAAACTTCACCCTTGCTTAGTACTTGACACCAGAAACAAATATCAAACAAAATTTCGTTGCTATGTGTCTCGGTTGCTATGGCAACAGTCGGAAAAGTTTGAAAAATCGAGATTTTCAGCCACTTTAAATCTTGACTGTGGCTTAATAAAAACTAGAAAAAGCAAACAAACCATTCTCACAAAAACATGACACCTTGATGTCACTTATACTGTAAAGAAACTGTTTAGAATATATCTCTAAGTAAGTGGTAACCAAGGGTACATTTGGAATACATTTAAAATGCTGAAATGTGCTGAAAAACACTCCGTATTCACTAATGGTAGGTGTTACATGCTCAAACTCAATCAACGGACATAAGAAAAACAATGAGAATGTTTGACCTTAAGTATATAAGTATAAGCAATATTATTCTATAAACAACTTTTATGGTTGCCATGGTAACACAGTGTAACCATGCAAAACCAGTAACTAAGTTTGGGTTAATGCTACTGTCTTGAGGAAAAACATGAAAATTCAAGACTGGCAAATATGCATCATTAGGACCTTGCAACACCAAAACTATAACAAAACTTGGGTATAATTGCTACTTTGAAGTGTTACCATGGAAACAAAGTACCAGTGCTTAAAAGTGAATTATTTTTCGCTGCATTAAGAATTAAATTGCCATTTAATCAAAAAACAAATTAAAGGAGTCAGCTTGAATAGTACTTATCTGTTAGAACTGAAGTTGAATATCACATATTGATAAAATTTGATGAATAAAACAACACTGTTGCTATGGTTACCAAGAAGGGAAAATGTCCGATTTTTTGAACTTTATATCAATATTAAACCCTGTTTGCCAGCTTCTTGCATCCACTTAGAGATTGAATGATAGTCAAAATTAAAAGTCAAGTTAGCTGTTAATAAATATCAATCATAAAAGTTTTGGGAATCTACATATAAGGGTACATATCCAAGGAAAGAAAATATTTTTCAGGTTTTTAAGCATATATTTTCTGCTTATTTCCATAGCAACGCTCTATTTAAAGAATTTAATCTGAATTTTTTCAAATGGGAAAACTTGGAGCACACTAACATCTTATAAAATTGATCATTAGTTATGAGGAAATGTGCTTTTTTTAAAAGATAAGATCAGATTTAAACATACATAGTGTTACTTTGAAGGCTCTCTGTGGTATAAAAACCTTGGCAACCATTGCCAACCAAAATGAAAATCATATTTTGTTCTTGGTATATGTTTCAAGGCTCTTTTTTCTATTATTTGGTCACATTTCATCCTATAATTGCTTTTTATTTTTACGTGTATGACTTTATAAAATTCAATGAATATTTTTTTTACTTTTGAATACTTTGTTACCATAGTAACGTATGTAATAGTTGATTTATCAAACATGTATATCATGCATTTGAGACATCTGACCTTCAACTTTTGGAAACAGTCATTGCCAATTATTTGCTTTGCCGCAAATGTTAACTATGGGGCTCTAAACATGTTAAAAAATGCCATTTTTCGAACTTTAAGACATGTTGCCATGGTAACTATAAAACAAAGCAACCAATTTTTGCCTGATTTCAGTTTAGGGTATCAATGACTTTTATCATAGAGAGTTTGGAGAAATTCTGAGACTATGCGTGCCACAGCTCCTATATAAAATTTCAAATCTTACAGAGAATGGCTCTTAAAATGTTAGTACAGTGTATTTTTAAAAAATATTGTGTTCCAAGCTGTTTTTCTTCTAAATCATATAAAAAAATGAAGTTGCTGCATTTCTGAATATTTTGAATTTACATTTAAAAAGACAAAATTTCAATTAATCTTAAAAAAATATTTTAACAAGTGCTCATTTTCGGAATCTTTACGGGTAGTCATAACCTCCCGTAAAAAAACGCATGGTTTACGGAGAGTTTCCGCATCGTTTACGGGTGCGGTGTTTACAGAGGCTTTGTGAATAAGAATTTTTCGACTGCGGGTCGTTTCCGCAAAGTCTACGGGTCCGGTAAGTTTACGGAGGCTTTGTGAATAAGACAGGTGACAAGTCACATTGGAAGGCGTTGCTACAGTAATAAGATCTATTCTTGTAATGATATATCTTATGTACATAGAACATTGTATGGGGAATAAAAATTGTTTTGGGAATACAAATTTAGATCTATAATTAAAAAACTCCCGTCACTTGAACTAACAAATTTGGAGTTTTGCTAGTTTGAGATAGGAAAAAAAAAAGAAAAAAAAATCTTCCCCCGCTGGATTTCGATCCGGGGACTGTCTGCTTGGGCGACCACCGCTCTACCGATTGCGCTAGGGAAATCTCGAACTATGAATAGCTAGAAGGTTGTTAGATTCTAATTTTAGTTATCCGGTCTACCCACAATGCACTGGACTGGCATTGTTTACCTACAAAGCGGTCTAGTTATATCCAAACATTTTTTTAGACTGTTAACCATCTGTTAATTTTCTCAAAGAAAAAAATTCAAAACCAGGGGAAAATAATGATAATGCAATGGTGGATTTGAAGGAGAGGGTTCGTAAAAAAAAAATTACCAAATTTCCAGCTTTGGTTCCCAACATGTCTAATATTTTCTGATTCACATGTGAGTAGACGTGAGTAGACATAAAAAAAAATTAATCGTGTTGAGGTTCTTCAGGTTGTAACAATGCTTTTGCATTCAAATGATTCAATGAGACATAAAAAGTCTACTATTTGCATTTACAGTCTCTTTCTAATATGAAAGATATGTGTTGTAGGTTTTAAAAATTCAAGGAACTATGCTCAAGGATTAATACAATATTAGATATGTAAGGAGATAGTTAATATGATAGCTATGTTATTGTAATATGGTCTCTTCAATATGAAAATATATGTACTACATGCAGTAACTCTGAAAGGACCTTTTTTTCTGAACTGTATTTAAGTAGAAATTTCCATTTTATAGGTCCAGTACCAAGAGTCCATACATCACCTACAAGAAATGACAGCCCAGGTGTAATGTTGACTACAGCAACAGCTAGCCATGCGCCAACACCAAGAGGACCCCTAAAGACAACAACAAGAAGCTCCATCTCAACTAGTAGCACCCCCACACCAAGAGGACCCCTAAAGACAACAACAAGCTCCATCTCAACTAGTAGCACCCCCACACCAAGAGGACCCCCAAAGACGACAACAAGCTCCATCTCAACTAGTAGCATTCCCACACCAAGATGACCCCAAAAGACGACATCAAGCTCCATCTCAACTAGTAGCACCCCCACACCAAGAGGACCCCCAAAGACGACATCAAGCTCCATCTCAACTAGCCACACCCCACCACAAAAAGCACACGTGGAGACAAAAATTAAGATGTACTCTACTTTGTTTCATTTGAAAAATTATTTTGTTAAAACAGATTCTGATTGCACACACAAGTACTCTGAAGTTGACATCAAGAAGATGCTTGAGTTTCTGATTGACAATATCTATGTGGTTTTTGGAGACCAGGTATTCCAACAATCTATTGGAATTCCCATGGGTACAAATTGCGCTCCGTTATTAGCAGACTTATTTTTATATTCATATGAAGCAGAATTTATGCAAAATCTTTTGCGTGAAAAGAAAAAAACACTTGCTGTGGCCTTCAACTCGACATTTAGATATATCGACGACGTATTGTCAATTAATAATGATTATTTCCATTCCTACGTCGACACGATATATCCTGGTGAGCTTGAGATAAAAGATACCACAGAGTCCGACACTTCTGCTTCATACTTGGATATTTTACTTGAAAAAGACACAAATGGTAATCTAACAACCAAGCTATATGATAAACGTGATGACTTTAAATTTTCTATCGTCAACTTCCCTTACTTATGCAGCAATATACCTTCATCACCTGCATACGGAGTATTTATATCTCAGTTGATTCGATACGCAAGAGCATGCTCTACGTATGAACAATTTCTTAAAAGAGGTAAACTATTGACAAGCAAGTTGATGAAACAAGAATATCAACAGTCTCGTTTAAAGTCATCATTTCGTAAATTCTATGGTCGATACAATGACCTTGTCAGCAAATACAATTTATCATTGAATGAAATGCTGACTGACGTTTTTCATACCAATTGTTAGTCCATTATTTATACACTGAATTGACCACGGATTTTTTCCGTTATTTCCTGATTGTGACGGCGGGCACACGGCGGGTGTGACCGGTCGACAGGGGATGCTCACTCCTCCATGGCACCTGATCCCACCTCTGATGTTTCGGAGGTCCGTGTTTGCTCTGCTCTTGTTTTGTATATTTGTTTAATGGACGTTGAGATTGAATACTGTTCGTTATTTCCATATCCTTCTTTCAAGTGTAAAAATATATCTCCGTCTGATATGCTATGTTTATAACTCCCGCATAATTTTAATATCTCTTAAACTTTTGTAATTAACCACCTTACATCTTATAAAAATAAAAGTGGGGGGGGGGGGCGTATCCTAAAAAGAGAAATGGTGAACGTGACACAGTTTTTATCCGCGCAGTTACTTAGGTGAAATGATGACAAAGCCTAATTTGATACACTCTACCGGTACTGTACCTCATTGAAATTGATGATAGTAGTAAGGGGTATAATCTGTAGTCTCTGAGGGCAATGACGTCATTGATATAGGCCAAGGTCAAGAAAGGAGGTCAGATCTAAGGCACTAGGTCAAGGGCATAAAGTAGGTCATGAACTCAATACAAGGTCACAAACATCTGAGGTCAAAACAGTCTTAGGGCTACTCGTTCACATAAGTCAAGGTCAAAATCAATGACAGAGGATCCTGACCTATACCGCGACTAAGTACAAGGAAGAAATAGACCCAAGGACAGAAACGATCAAGAGTAAACAAAGTCATAAACATTTGAGGGCAAGACACAATCAAAACAGTCCGAGGTCAAATCATCTGTGGGCACATTTATAATCGAGGTAAGGGACATCTGAGATCCAAAGGATATACTTATTACATAGAGGAGCGTGTACATTGAGACTTGAAGAAAGTCGGGTTTCTTATTTCATACTGTTAAGGTACGTGTTATACATGTACTATCTTTAAGTTATTATGTGTAAAAGATAACTTCGTTTAGAAAAATGTCATAAAGAAACACTTCAGCTCATTTTCCGCAAAATGTAATGAAACAAAAAATTTTACCGCTATTTTCTTTCATTTTCTAGCAAATTTAAAGGTATGACCTTTCCGAAAATTATAGTTTTTAAAAATAAATAAATCTGAATTAACCGTAGAAAATTTGTTGTTTGTAATAGTTTTTGACGGTCCTATAAAAACAACAAAGATACTTCCGGCTGATCATCAATACGAGGTGTAGAGATCATTAATGGACCTACATGCTTCAAATCACCAGCATCGATATCATTTTCACCATTTAATCCATTAGTGTGTAGATAAACACTCTCCATAAATGTGGAAATCGAGGAACACAGAGGATGGACAAAAATGTGACAGCGCAATATTTGACAATTAACAACATAGAAAGGTAATAATTTCCTTTGTTATAAAACATTCTTTACTCAACAACACATGAAAAGTCTATAGATAGTTTTCGACTGGTCTGAACTTAGCAAGAGTTGTTTCCCGTTATAACCTCCATTGAGTGTGATGGTCATCGGGGAGGAAGAAGTTGTTTCGGCCGAATGAAATCCCCGGGGTGGAATTCTTTTAGTGAAAAAAAATAGAATAAAGAAAATTAAAAAAAAACACCCTTTTTATTTCTTATGAGCATGAAAGAAGAATGAGTCAGCCCTTTAGTGTAAAATATACTGGTAGATATTCACCAGCCATGTTCGGTTTAAATTGATTCCGATCGGTAGTGTAATTCAAGAAAACGTCTATAGTTTTATATATCCTCGAAAGGTCAAAGTCATGAGGATATTATAAACCAGAGGGGAGGGTGTTAACTCTATCATTTATTTCTGTGTCGTTTATATCATGCATGGAGATTATGTCTTTTGTAAATTAAAAGGTGACATCTCAGGATGATTAATAAACCTTTTTTTTCAAATCTTGACGTAAAAATTTCATTCAAAAGAACCCAGTGATTTTATTTCCTTTTAAAAATCACCGCGCCGGTCGTGACATACCTGCGCAATATACCAACATGGAACGCTATGACAGCTTGTCCCATCATTTATTCCTGTATATACATAAATAAATAACATGATGAAAAAAATGTAAATGATTCTTACAATATGTAATGCACGCACGAATTCTTTTTACCACTGAAGAAATTAACCTACTTAAATGTCAAAAAAAGTCCATGTAGGCCTATGACTGACGATCAAAGTACATTTTAGTAAAATATCCAGAATCTGTTTTGTTTGGGGTTTTCTTTTATTTGTTATTTTTTTAATATATATTTAGAGATGTAGACCCCGAATTAAAACATTAATATGCATCATCATGACCATATTTGCTAATATATACTATAAAGACTCATGGGCGGATCCGCGTATTAGACGTGCTACTATATGCTTATACCTCCTCAGTATTAAAACGCATGATGACTTTAAAATTTATACGTCTGATGACTTTTTAAAAAATTATTAGTGCTTCCTATACGGGCCTTATCATAGAGAGCATCATGATGCAGGTACGTGATGACAACTTAAATATTGGATGACGTCATCTCAAATTTTACGCAGCATTGTTAAGGCTTGAATTAGGGGGCGGGGCCTAATTTATACGGGAAAAGTTAACTGTGACGTCACACAAAAATATGACTTTTATATATTTCTCATTATACCTGAAAATGAAATTATTTGCAACTTTTAACTGTATTAGCATAATAAACAACAATAAAACCTATCAATGCATTAAAAAACGTTTCTAGGTAAATCCCGTGTAGCTAGTTTTAGACAAAGCACTGATTGCGATGAACTTGTATATATGACGTCATTTTGGTAAACATGTACTGTGAGAGGCAGATTGTGGAATTTTTTAACAATGAAAATACTCGATTTATAATGAAACGGAATATTATTCACAGGTTTTAATTAGTCGATTAATACCAATGTAGATCCTTTGTTTAGTGCGATTATTCATTAACTTTCAAGAGAATGTATTTTATTAATTATGTCGTGTTTTTATGTACAGGTTACGTATATTTTACATCGAGATGCACCATAAAATCGTACTTTCGCAAGGGCATACACTGCATAGATCTTAATCATTTTTTGAATATAGATAAAGGATATTATCCTTAACTGGATAAGTGCTGCTGCTTTCTTTAAATCGAAGGCGTGATTTCATAAGTACACAAAATATTTGGTAAAAGTCTAATACTTTTTGACATTGGCCTATTTACTTTAAAATTTATCTATTAAAACGCGAATTCTATTCAAAGCAGCAGCACTTTTCAGAAACTACAAAGTGTGCAGAAACAATTAATAGCTTGAATTTTTAATTTCAACTAGGGTATGCCCTTGCGATATTGAAATTTGTTAATGACCTATATTCAGTACACGTACTATGCATTCATCACGTGACTGTCCATCGATGGGATTAAACGTCATACAGTACAGAGTGGGTAATACTATGCTATTTCCATAGGTATTAACGTTCTGTGATAATAAAACAGCTTAATTGAAATAAATTTAATTTAAAATAATACCCCCCTTTTTGTACATATATTTTTCGTTGATTTCTCATAGTAGGCCTTAACAGTGCTGCGTATTGGTCAAACTTTGCGAGGTCGATTGTGAACCCCGGTCGTTTACCACGCGTGAAGGCTACACGAAGATGGAAAGAGCGACATTTTTTTCAGCAGTGGTAATTTACCTCATTTCCACAACATATTGTATGTCTGTAAGGCGATGCACCGCCCCAGAATGCCAACAGATTACAGTGGATGCTAAAGAAGTTAGAGATGTCTATGTTACGGATTGTAACATTAACAGAGTGACCGTCATCGGCGATGCGGCGCGGGTGTTCATTTACCCTTTAAAGTCCTCGAATGACCAGGGTGACTTATGTGGTAAGTAATGTTTCGTTACAATAACATAATAATTATATTCTCATTATTTTTGTTTAATTCATTGAACTTTACTAATCATCAAACAACATCATCAGGTTCATTATCCGGAAATATCTGGAAGGCTTTGGGGACCAATTCAAAAGCTATTAGTCTTGTTTACGTCTTTTCCCATGAAATTAATCAATAGACAAACTAACAATCCTTTATTTGTTTATTTTTTTTTTTTGCAGAACCATTTCAAGTGATACATCTGAGCCTGTCAACAACTCAGCATGATGTGCCTACCCATCCAACAACTCAGCATGATGTGCCTACCCATCCAGCAACTCAGTATGATGTGACTACCCATCCAACAACTCAGTATCATATGACTACCGATCCAACAACTCAGCATGATGTGCCTATCCATCCAACAACTCAGTTTGATATGATTACCCATCCAACAACTCAGTATGATATGACTACCCATCCAACAACTCAGCATGATGTGACTACCCATCCAACAACTCGGCATGATATGACTACCCATCCAACAACTCAGCATGATGTGCCTACCCATCCAACAACTCGGCATGATGTGACTTCCCATCAAACAACTAAGCATGATGTGACTACCAGTCCCTCAAGGTCAAAAATGAAACACACAGCTCTCTGTAAGTTCTAATATTTCTGTTTTGTTATATGTGTAATTTCCTCATTTCCGACATGTCGTCTTGATATTAAATGCGTTAATAACCTGTATTGTGAAAATTGCAATATAAAGTAATTTTTGTTAACCGGAAGTTTTTCACAGGTAACATGCATTATATACATGCATTATATATAATCAAAATTTCTAATGCCACAGGCGAGTGTTTGTATCCAACTGTTCCTAATTCAATTTTTTTTGCCATGACAATGATTAAATATAAAGAATAAAGTAGGCGTGTGTCATGTACATGTTGTTATAAATATTATTGTAGATTCACTGGAAGAGGCAGCCAAAGAAGAAGACGCATATTCCTTCTGGAACCCCGAAATGAAAGGTTTCACAATCATTGTTCTTTCAATAATAATCTTTGTGTCAATAATTTATTTTTGTCTGCATGTTGATTTTAATGAAAGATAAGAAATTTAAGATTAGACAAGGTAAAGTACCAACACGTTTAGAAAAAAAAATTTGAAAAGAATTCTCTTAACTGATAATAATGACAGCAATATTTAATGAAGACTATAAGACTGAATACTTATATGTGTGTGTCTGTGTATATATTATATATATTATGGTTTTGATAGGATTGTCCTTGACCTAGCACCCTTGATTTGACCTACTTTATAACCTTTACCTTTATGGGTGTGGTTCACATGCCGTCACTGCCCTTTGAGCCTACAGACTATACCCCTTACTACTGATGATCGAGCAAAATTGGAAACGTGAGAAAACTCCACCCACTGTCAATTTTATGTAATTGCACTTGGTCATCATTTCATTAGGCGCCATGCCCTGCCAGACACTGTTCAAAGGTGGCCGACCAGTGCAGAATTGTCAAGGTATGAAACAAGAGGCCCACGGGCCTTATAGGTCACCTGAGTATTGTGTAACAACTTTCAAACAATTAAATTTGGTTCGTGTTTTAAACCAGAGGCCATGAAATTCACAATTTTGAAAGAGACACCATTGCTAATCATAATTAAAAATACTCTACTTACTCAATACCCAGAGGTAGATCAGAGTTACAAAGAGAAAATGTTCTTCCACTTTATAACCAGTTGTGCACCTCAACCAAAAAGAACCACTGACCTTGGGGCCACATATTTCAAAATTTTGCAAATTTTATCATAAAATGGTTGATTAATACCAAAGAGCAGGTTTCAAAGCATTAATTTATTTTCAGATTATGTATCCCCCCCCCCTCGGGGCATTAAAAAAAATTTTGCTAGATGCACCTTTCTTCATCATAAATATATATACTTAGATCATTGGCATAAAATTCACAATTATGGAAAAGGCACTCTTGCTTTTCATAACTATATTCTTAGTTAGTTTATTTAATACTCAGAAGCAGAGAAGAAGATTTTCAAAGAATAAATGCATTTTCACTATGTAATCTATAGAGCCCCGCCCTAACACCAGAACCCCTGACCCTGGGGCCATAAAATTCACAAATCTGGAAGAGGCACTCTTGCTTATCATAACTATGTACTTAGTTCGTTTATTTAATACCCAGGAGCAGAGAAGAAGATTTTTAAAGAAATAATGCATTTTCACTATATAATCTATATAGCCCCGCCCTAGCACTAGAACCCCTGACCCTGGGGCCATGAATTTCACAATTTTGGTAGAGGACTCAATGCTTATTACATTCATGCTAACAATTTGCCTGCTTGATGTCCAGGAGTAAAGAAGAGGTTTTTAAAGATTGCAATAATTTTAGTGGTTTTGGCCCCACCCCTCAGGCCCCAGGGGGGCGGGGACCATGAAATTCACAATTTTTGTTACCCTTTACCCATAGATGCTGTATATCAAATTTGGTTGAAATTGGTCCAGTGGTTTCAGAGAAGAAGCTGAAAATGTTCAAATGTTAACACACGACGGACGACGCACGACGACGGACGAAAACGGATAGCAATAGGTCACCTGAGTTACTCAGGTGACCTAAAAAGAGTAAAATATTTTTAATCATTGTCAAGATAAACAAAAAAAAATTAGTGGAATTTTTTTCTGTATTTGTATAGAAATAACTTCGGCAACGGCATCCACCGTTATAAATAATGAAGAACTTGAGTTCATAAGTGTTGTGCACTGATCTGTAGAAATTCTGAAAATGATGCATTAAATTCAATATTCTGTGTTTATGAATTTAACTTTTTTTAAAAAAAGTAAAACATATCCATTATTGAGAGGCGAATTTCTACAGATATATTGAGTTTTGTTTTGTTGCCACTCCGTTATTTTATCCCCCACCCTAATATTCAACTTGATTTTTTATACCCCCCGCTTGAAAAGTGGGGGTATATAGTAATCGGTATTTCCGTCCGTCCGTCTGTACGTCCGTCCGTCCGTCTGTCCGTCCGTCTGTTACAGTGGCTGGAACGTTATTGTTGACAACTTACACGAACGATCACGTTACACGAACGATTCCGCACGATTAACGCACGATTAAAACTGTTACACGAACGATCTTTCACGTTCACGATTCTACACGTTACACGATCTTACACGATTGTTAACGCAAACGCACGATTCTTCACTCAAAATAGTTCAAAATATTTAGGAATCAATATTTTCAAAACGAAATACGGCTTAATACTTATTTAAGATTTCAAAGAATTATCAATATTATTTCATAGACTTTGAAGAAAAAAACGGGAAATGTTATTTCTGTAACTAAATATATGCAAGACTTAATATTTTAGATTTAAAATAATTATTTCTAAGGTAATTCTCCGATCAAAAAAAAAACGGATTTTGTTCGTTCTATAAGACGATGTACACGTATGTGGGTTGTATAATTTGATTGAATTGAATATCATGATATGCAGAAAGGGGGATACGATTGAACAAAAATGGCAGCATGGAATGACTTAAATTATAATTGGAAATTTTATCCTTTTGTTTCCATTGATTCAATGTATGATAAACTTGCCAATTATTCAACTTTTTTATTTGCAGAAATTTAAAATTAATTAATTACAAATTAGGAATCATAATAAATAATTACGATTTAAAAAAAAATATATTTATATTCAATGAATTGATTTCAAGATTATCTTGACCACAATAAGAATTAAATAATAATTAAAATCAGATTTTTCAAAAAGGCGTTAAAGATCTAAGTACAGTTTATCACAATATTGATCGCGCTATTTTACGAAAACTTAATATTGTACGACTTACTATATTGCTTGTTTACGGGCGATAATTAGTTCGTTCTGCATTCTATTATGTAAATTGCGCTTTTTCATTTTATTTGGATTTTAATTAATAAATTAAGAAAAACAAACAAGGGAAATGCTTATTTTACAAATAACATTCCGATAAAAACTTACAAAACGAAATTTACACGATTCTAAACGCACGATCTCGCACGATTAAAAACGCACACGTTTGAGTCTGATACACGAACGATCTTGCACGTCACACGAACGATCACTCACGATACACGAACGATTCTACACGATTGGTTTGTCAACAATAACGTTCCAGCCACTGTACGCTTTGGGGTACCCATCTCTTATCCGCAACTCCTCTCATACCACTGAATGAAATTTGATGAAACTTTCACAGAATCTTTATTACATATTGCCATTGTGCACCTCCTATTTTACTTTTTGATCCGACAGATATTTTGGGTTTCCCGGCCACAGGAAAAGATGGACTATTTCATCAGTTATAACCATATGGGAGGCGGGGGTATCATTTAGTGAGCTCATCGCTCACAGTACCTCTAGTTTTTATTAATTTTTTTTAATTTTTTTTTTACTAAAAAAAATGTTTTTTCTCATGAAGTTTTTTTTTTAATGTGTGACCTTTTTACGTTGAAACTTTGTGACTCAACTATTTATAAGAATTGAGATGACTTCAGAGTGTTGTTTTATTAAATTTAGATACTGACATTCGTGAACACACCATTTCTTCAGACTACAATGCCCCTCCAACTCATTTGCAGTCTTCAAACACCGTGACGTTAACCGACCTATCAACCCCCTCGACCCATTGACATACCAAAAGATGAAGACCCACCCAGCAATACATTAATCTACCCCGGAATTATTGATGACATACCCACACACGTATTCAATCATCACTTCTTTCGCCCCCCACATCGTCACATACCATCAGAGAAAGACAATACCCTCTTCTGTTATATCGTCAATAACCCCTCAGTCAACATGATACATTTCCCGATTACACTCAACTAACGAACATGTACCTGAACAGTTCACAACAATTACGAAAGAGGCAAGAACTATTGAGGACCGTGACACCACGGAGAGCGTAAAACAGGGGGACAGATCAGCAGAGGACACCCGGGGTACCAAGCATGGACGTTTCATGTATCTATACATATTGCTAGTCAGTCCCCTATTTATTATAGCATTTTAAAATAAACTATTTAGAGATGATTACAGACACTGAGATTGATAATGACGAAACTATAATAATATACGAAAAGGAAACTGTAGTGTAGTAAATAATGTTCTTTATTCACACCAGATATTGAAAGAAACATTAGTTCTAAGGACACCCCCTCTCAATATTTAACAGAAGCATGTTTATATAAAATAACTATGATAAAACAAAGAGCATGTTTACAGCTGTTTTTAAATTAATGTTACTTATATCTTTTTTTAAATGTTTATATCAATTGCATGCTGCATGTGAGAAATGCCATCTTAAAGTGAGTATTTGTACATTTATTTGTAATTTGATCTCTTTGATTTCTGATTTAAAGGAATATTTCAAAAATATGAAATAGATGTATAAAAGAAATTAATACAACGATTTTTCTTTTTTTTAAAGGTCTTTTTCCAGATAAATGTTTATAAATATTGGTTAATATTACGGAAAGTATCAAAAACTGTGATTAATATGTTTTACAAATTTTCAGGTCACGGCCTATGGGTTAGCTCTGACATCATTCCTTTTAATCTGCGCCATGATTTGTGGCTTCAACTTTCGCTTTTTACAGATGGATTGGACATGTCGCCCATCCGTGAAACGTAAACAAGAGGTGCCCAGGCGCTTGGGGATGGAGAGAAGGCCAGCAACGGATACGAGGTGCATCGTTTTTGAGATGGACGAGACACCCCCCCCCCCCCTTGCCAAGCAGACGAAGACCAAGCTCCCGGTGGCGGCAGGGGCATACAGCCACCGCTCGAACAAAAAGGCTAGTTTGTAAAATGTAAGTAACAAATAAAAAGACGTATTATTGAAATAATTCCTTTTAAAAATTAATAAAGTTTCAATCAATATTACATGTTTACTTAAAATTTAAAGATCACATTTCCTATTAAGGTCAAGATCTAGTAAATAACTTGAGACTAATTTTTTGGTGCTAGATCCATTATGACGTCATAATCAATTTCAACTTTCTTTTTCCCGTACTTTACGGCTTTAGCAGAATTATGTAGAAAATAGGGAATTTTCATGTCATTCAATTTGAAATCATATGAAAAGTAAACCGGATACCTATATTAAATTTGATATTGATTTAAAGAAGAGGCCATGAACAAACTAATTACCGTTTTATGAGAGACTGTAGGCAATCTGGATACATTTCCTTTGCCAAATACGAAAAAAAAACTCCCATATTCATGACTGGTTTTCTTAATTTTTCATTGAAAATGACAGTGTAAAATACAGTTTTATATCTTGTTTACCTACAAATTATGCCCCGAAACACCTTATGTGACCAAGCTAAAGTTGTAAAGCATCAAGAAAGGAATTTGTTTTCCAAGTTTGATAAATCTGTAGGCACCTTTCATTTACTAGATCTTGACCTTAATTAAAATTAAGGGTTTGAAATACAGCTATATACGTTTTGGTTTTACAGGGAGACGTGAGGGTCCATTCTGAATTTTGTTTGAGAGACGTGAGGGTCCACTCTGAATTTTGTTTGAGAGACGTGAGGGCCCACTGAATTTTTGTTTTGTTTTTTTTCTTTATAAATAAACATTGATAAAGGTTATTCTCGATATACATCAACTTCTTTTTCGGAAAGTATAAACTTTTCGCAGTAGTCCTTTTTCCACGAAAAAAAAAGTCATAAGACTAAGAATTTACTGTGAATTTACGCTAGGAGTCACAACTCCAAAGAAACCCAGACCAGTCGTCGATTCATTTCTGCCGACATCGAGGCATCGCAAAAAGACGAGATCGTCCAGTGTGAATGGGGAAACGCACCTTTACGTCGCGTAGACTGTTCCAAGTGTCGATCAGAACGAAACCTGTGTCCCTCTTGTCGGGTCTGTCATCACTGTCATAAATCGCACTGAGGCAAATTAAAACACACCGTGGTCTTGGCGGTGAAAAATGGGAGAACGACGATCTCACACCCGATAGTGCGTGCGACATTTGCGGAGATCGAAACAATAAATTAAAAGAGGAGAATAAGATTAAAAGAGAAATGCAGAATCAATCAAAAGGAACTGTAAACTGACTAAATGAAAATTGAGAAAGAATATTTGGAATTCAATCAAAAGTAGAAGAGCAACTGAATAATTCTTTTTTTACAGTTATTATGGATGAACTAAAAAATCATTAGGCTTTCTTGAAACCATTGGGGGGGGGGGGGGGGGGGGGGGCTACACAAGATTGAACACGGGAATCCAAAAGAAGGGATATAGATATTGAAAAAGTTAGCAGAAAATGTAAAGCAACATGCAAAACGGCCAATTTCTAGCTAGATATGATAGAAAAAACAAATCAATAATCTAAAGGAAGAAAACAACAAAAAAAAAACTAAAACAGGAAAATAAAATTAAAAGAGATATAGAGAAGTATTTAGAACTCAGAGAATCAATATCAAAAGTAGAGGAGCAACTGGGTAACTTCCAACAAATATTGAATACTTTTTACCGAGAGCCTTAATGACGAAGACTCTAAAAGTGAATCTGCTGTAAATTCAGATGAAAACGTACAGACAAATGGACAGTCACAAGACCTTTTTGTCTGTCCACAGACAACGAAATTCAGAAAAGATTCACTTTTACGGTCTTCATCAATACCATATACATTCAATATTAGTAATTTACTTGTTCACTCATGTGTCTCAAATGAGCTGGGGTGAACATGTAAAAAATAATTCTTAAATATTTTCTTTGCTCGTGAAATCAAAAGTAGAAAATAAACTGAATAACTCCCAACAAATAATGATGAAGACTCTCAAAGTGAATCTGCTCAAAAGAGCTGTTCTACATTTAAAGACCCTACCTCCGCAAAGAGGGTGTTGCAGTTCTTTTGTTATTTTCCCTAAATGTGTAGCAAATGAAAAGAAGAATTTTTATGTTGCAGAAACTCATATTAATTTTTTTCAAATGCAACAGTATATAAAGCACGACGAGAAACAATATTTGGAAGGTGTGTATTGACTTCCAGTTTGCCATTAATTGATGTGAAAATTAGTCTTACGGCAAAGTATATGATTTTTCGTTTTTTTAAATAGGGAATCCCCATTGTTCTGAAAAAGTGCCCCCTTGGAACAAAATAATTTTGATATATACACAAAGAGGCATGAATTTTCTTCAAAACTGCCTTTTCCGATTTTTGTTTCAAAGAGGCACATTTTTGAAAAACGCAAAAATTGAATAAAAATTATTCTCCATACGAAACGCAAAATGTGTAATTTAAATAACACCGTTAAAATATCGTGTCCGAAATGGTCTAGTGGATATGCTGGTGGGCTGCCAACTAGCACTTTTACCAGAGTATGGGTTCGAATCCTGGTATGGGTCATTTTTGCATATTTTTTTTTCCATATGTAATGGTAGTGCAATAAAATTATATATATTTTGAAAGAAAGGTGGGAGATGTCCAGAAGTAAATAGACTAATAACTATATATTAGAAATGCAGGATTAAATTGTTTTCCTTGATATGCTGTGACTTAAAACTAATGCTTTATTTAGTTTTGTCTTTATTTTTGGAAAATAAAGTCCCTGTATTGCTTAAATAATATATTTTTTACATACTGTAGTTATTGCAATTTTGGTCTCTTAGTTAGTTTTGATTTGAAACAAATAAAATGTCTTAGATGTAGCACCAACAGTGTGATTATGGGACGCAGTTTTATTTTATGAAAAATATTTTCGCACAATGTCTACAGTATATCTTTCAAAATGCTGCTTTAACCATTGTGCTTTTTTTTGTTCCAACCTCTTTCGTACAAAATGACGAAAGTGTTTTGCTGTATCAAACAGGAAATACCCACCGTAAACATCGTCCTCTACGTAGCTGTATCTATATTTAGACATAACGAGGGTATTTAAATGTCCTTCTCGATACATAGGGAATAATCACGAGTTTCTGCAACACCCTCTTTGTTGATGCTTGTTTTAGGATATGTGATAATTTCCCATTAATTATAATGGAGGAATAAAAATTCATTAGGCTTTCTTGAAACCATTGAGCTACAAATACTGGGGGGGGATTCACAAGATTGAACACGGAAATCAAAAAGAAGGGATAATAGATATTGAAAAAGTTAGCAGAAAATGTAAAGCAACATGCAAAACGGCCAATTTCTAGCTAGATATGATAGAAAAACAAATCAATAATCTAAAGGAAGAAAACAAAACACTGAAAGAGGAAAATAAAATTAAAAGAGATATACGAGAAACAATTTAAAGAAATTCAAATTGAAAAAAAGGCTGAAAAAGAATATTTAGAACTCAAAGATAGAGGAGCAACTGAGTAACTTCCAACAAATAATAAATACTTTTTACCGAGACCCTTAATGATGAAGACTCAAAAAGTGAATCTGCTGTAAATTCATCAGAAAACACACAGACAAATGGACAGTGACAAGACCTTTTTGTCTGTCCACAGACAACGAAATTCAGAAAAAATTCACTTTAAGGGTCTTCATCAATACCATATACATTCAATATTAATTATTTACTTGTTCACCCATGTCTCAAATAAGCCGGGGTGAACATGTAAAAAATAATCCTTAAAAATATTTTCTTTGCTCGTGAAATAATCGTGAGAAATTACTGCGATATCTCCTGCAGAGATGTCGCAGGTTAAGGGTCCGCAGGGGGGAGTCTCGGTCACCCCCGAAGATCCCGATGACGGTGAGGAAGCGGTCTCCCTCCCCATCAGCAACCCCTGCTCCGCTGCGGCCAGCAGTACCACCATTCCATCGAATCGAGCGAGCCGGCGTCCAGTGGAATGGATTCGTCAAGAACGGTGACGACCATGGAGGCGACTTCGACTCTGCCACCGAGACGTCTCCTCCCCATACCAGGAGCCTGTAAATTGAAATGTTAACATGTGTCAAATAAACCTTTCATCGATCCCATTTCGTTTTTTTTTTCATTATTACTTTTACTGTTGATTTTTTGACAACAAATGTGACAATCTGCTGATACTCATCATCAAAATGAAGCTCATTGCAATATTTCATTGTTCCTTTTATACAGAAGACTTCCCCTCACCATACTACCCATGCTACAGTCAAACATGAAAAATCCACTCCAAAATTTGAAATTAATATTTTTATTTATTTTCAAGAGTATTGATTATATATCGGCTTAAAAATTGTGAAATATTTTGTAGAATGCTGGTTAATATTTTTATTTATTTTCAAGAGTATTTATTATATATCGGCTTAATAATTGTGAAATATTTTGTAGAATGCAGGTGACAGTGATCATGACGATGATGATGATACAAAATTGACAACCATCCTCATAAGTAAGTATTTATCTATTGCTTCCCTTTGTATATCTGTTACATTGTTAATCTAATCATTATACTGTATATACATGTATCGAAGAATTTGTAAAACTTCCCAAAATGTGGTTTATACTGATTCTACAGTTTTTTAAAAACTCATTTGATTCATCTGATTCAGAAGGTTATGTAAGGCCTCATACTGTTCAAAAATATTAAGAAGTGTCTTAAATTGTAGGTCTTTGTGTGGTTTTACCAGTCTTTGCTGTTGCTTTTTCCATCCTTTTGTTCATCAGAAAAATGGAACAGAAGGACCACATTACATATCAAACATTCCGAGACCACTTGGAACTAAAAATGATTAATTATCTTCTCCTAATAAATTTGCTAAATTTATCCTTTGCATGACAGACTTGCTTAATTGTT